AATGTGTTTTACACTCTCAATGAATTCATAGCCCAAAATGTGGGTGATCATAGTGAGAAGGACTTGATGGATTCACCAATTTGAGATGTCGAATTTTATGCTATTAATAAGGTCATAGCCCAGGATTCGGGTGGTTCTTATTGAGACGGGCTTGATGATTTACCAAATTGATAGAATAAACTATTATATGTTCTTAATAAACTCATATCCCATGTTTTAAATGGTCTTTGTGAGACAGACTTAATAAATTCATTGAATCTTAAAATGAGAGGTTGAGCTTTCTTATTGCTCTTAATGATTTTACATCCCTAATTTGGGTGGTTTATATTGAGATAGACTTGATAAAATCACCTACGTAAGTTTAAAGGATTAGTCACATTCTATGAAATACTTTTGGGCATCTTTTCTAGAGCCTTACCAGCATCCTAAGGTATATTTGGCCAAAAATTAATGATCTATCGCGAAACTAACTTGGTGAAGAAATTATTCGTGTGTTGTGAGTTTACCCTTGTTTTAACAAGTTCCAGATTCGTTCACTTGTTAAGAGAAGAATTTTTCATTCCACTATATATTAGTTCCAAATACGTTCACTAGTACTTAAGCAACTAATTTCGTTGGTGCTCTTTTCGCATTCAAATTTTCATACTTATTTGCATTAGTGGGGGATTGTTTGTAATGCAAATAGTGGAGAGATTTTTTAGGGAGAATGTTACCTATTTTTAGTGAGTAGTTGGAGTAGGTTGTTGTTATTTGATAACTTTATCCCTCTGTTACTCCTATAAAAGAAATCTCTCTCCCTAATTAGAACACAAAAACTGATAGTTTCATTATTTCTTTTTTCAAAAGTTTCTTATTGAAGAGTGCAACACAAGTGGGTTCCACTTCCTCACTTCGGGTGTATGAGGTCTAATAGATTGTGTTAACCTTAGGGAGCAACATCCATTTCGAGATTACACCAATCTGGGTGAAATTGCTTCTAAGGTAGCGGCTTCCATACCAGGACATAGTAAAACCATTTGATCTCCTTCGTTATTTGATTATTATTTGTTAGTCAATATTAACATAATTGTTTTGCAACAATATTATTTCCTTACAAGAAACACCACTACAAAAAGACTATAGTTGTAATAAACCCATAACCACATTCAATCATATAAAGCAAGCATTTTTCTCAAACATTCTTAAATATCTAAGCAATTCCACAGAAAATAGAAAATCGATGCAATAAAAAGTTCCAGAAAAATAAATCCATAAAGAACTACCCAAAATACACAATAACCTCAAAAACCATACCGTACAAACAATAAATGCCGACATGTAGAAGGTTTGTGTTAGGATTTTCGGAAGCTCGAAATGATAACCGGAACGATTTGCAAAGAGGGGTCGGAACGGTTTTGTGTTTAGGGAGTAAGGATATTACTATTCATAAAAACATTTTTGTGCTCAATTTTAAATTAAAAGAACTTTGAATTATTTTGTAAATTTTGAATAAATTCAATTAAGTCCAAATACATTTTGTAAATTCAATTCAAGTCCAAAAACCATTTTGCCTTAAATTGTTATATCGAAACATAGTTCAACAGTTTGATCACTAAAACTCGTGTTTTGAGTCAAAAGAAAAGTTGGGAGAATTGGGTTCCCAACTCCCACATTGTAATTCTCATCAGATTCTTCTCCAATGTTGATTTTTAATGTTTGGGGAATCCATCGGCCTTGAAACTTGTTATCTTCAAAGTTATATTGATAGAACGATTGGATGAACAAAGTGGGATTAAACAAGAAGAGGGTTTTGTTGAAACAGGTGATTTTCAACAAAAAAAAATTATTTTTTTAACTTTTAAGGGAAAAAAAATGAATAGGAAGTGTTTGTTTTGAGATTTGATTTTAAAAAAGAGACCAAGTTTCATTAGAGGGAAACCTCAAATATGAGATGTAACCTCTAGCTTTGGAGATCACTATAATTCAAATTAACGAAAATCATGAAATCTTCATAATATAGCATGCTTCGACAGATAATTGATGTAAATCCGTAAACAAAAAATAAGAGTTCATAAAATATATTATAAACCGAGTTTAAAATCCAAAACAAAAAAAAAATGCTCCAAATCTTCGATATAAACATAGAAAATTAACGGATAAAAATAAAATAGAGTTTAAAATCGTCCATACAATATCTATATGAAAATGTGTGACTAGTTGATCCTCAAGTACCAGTCGTAATCCTAAAAACCAAAAGGATATGAAAAAACAAACTATAAAAGTGAGCTATAAAGCTCATTATGTTCTCTACCTGATACAAATATATGATGTGTAAATCAAATGGCTGTCCCTTTTTCCCATATGTATGGGGTAAGGGGGAGGTAAGATAGTAGGCTACCCCCAACACTAGGTTGAGAGCAAAACAAACTATAAAAGTGAGCTATAAAGCTCATTATGTTCTCTACCTGATACAAATATATGATGTGTAAATCAAATCATAGACAATAATAAATTAAAGTGCACTACAAGAATATTGTAACAAAAATTTCACACAGCATTACCTTTCGTCGCGGATAAACATGATGGGATGTTACCATTTGAAGAGGTACCTAAATTTGAGTACAAAATTCAAGATGAGGAAAATGGCCTTCGAAGAGGATCCCTTTCAGATACAAAAATAAGGATGGAGATATAACTCTCCAAAGAGAATCCTAGTCAGATACATAAATCAGGATGAGGTTATATTCCTCCGAAGAGGATCCCAATCAGATACCTAAATCAATCTGTGGATATAGCTCTCCGAAGATGATCCCAAATAGAAACATGATGGGGATGTTAACTTTCATTGAGGATCACATGCAAAAATAGGATGAGGATATTACCCTCGGTAGAGGATCCTATGCATATAACAAAAATGCATCAATATACAGATTAAACGCGGTGCAGTATTATCAAAAATTAGATATATTACAAATAAACACAATTAGAATATGAATATGCGTACAAATAACATAATACAACATAATAGCATAAAATATTAAATGTATCAAACAAGTCAAAGGGACACACCTATAGTAGCTAACTAATAACAACTAAGTCTTACGCTTTCCATGGTCGATAATATTAGGTTTTGCAGAATGGTGACGCATATCTCAAGACGAACGTGCATAATCAAACTAGGCTGAGTGGAAGTGATCAAGATCTACTAGAGAATGATGCAGAGACACGTGATCACCTTCAAAATATGATACCAAAAAGTGAGTCCAAAATCTTATAATTTACTTAACTTATTTGTAACTTTAAGCAACAAGGTCAAAATTTAACAAAATAAATTACAGAAACGAGTTCAGGATATCGAAAAACATAAATATATGAGTTAACAAAAAAGTTGACGAAAAAAGTCAACGGTTAAAATCAACAATCAAAGGTCAATGGTCAAACGGTTCGATTAGTGATTCGATCAGTAGTTTAGGGCTGGTTCGAGGTAAGACTACTTTGATCTATTCAGTTAGATCGATCCAACGGTTTGAACCGCCTTAACAGTCTTACACGCACACAACGACACATGAGGCACACTACGACTGCAAAAAATTACCAAAAATTACAAAAACTATTTTACGGGGAGTCACTTATAAAAATTGGTTTCACGAAAAGATCGAAGAAGATGGGGTTTTAACAAAACTCCAACATTTGAACCTTCCTCGGTTTCACATGACAACTACGAATAGCGAACCAATGATACCTAACAAACAGGGACGATGAGACGAACAACAGGGTGCCAGTGATGACAACCACGACGACCAGACGCCAACAGAAAGACCAAAAACGCACAATGATGGTTAGGTGGTGGAGAGAGAAAGAGAGAGGGCTTGAGAGATAATGACAAACGGCTAAGAGAAAAGAAAAGAAAAAAAAGTGGGAGCTTAAACCATAGAAAAATTGGGTAAATTAATCCCTTAGCCCATGAACTTCCATAAATTTACGAAAAAGCACTGAAATTTATAAACTTTCAAATTTAACTCAAACTTTGGGGTGTGACATGAGAGTTTGAGTCAAAGAAATGAATGCTCTTGGAAGTGAAAATTCAAGGAAAGTTCGGACTTCTAAACTGAATTGGTTTGAGTAGTATTCTATTTTAAGTTCGGCTTTGACAAATTAGCCCAAACCCAATGGGCTGTAGAGTTGACTTATCCAAGCAAAGTTAAGAAAACAATTTGGAGATTTTAACTTGATTTTAAATGTTATAATGATGGACATATCTTGGAGTAATTGTAAGGGTTGCAATGAGGAAGAAAGCAAAAGCATACTATTGTCATTTCCATGATACTTAAAATCTGCATATATATGCACATTGTGGCATATCTCTAGTAGATGCCTGCCATGACCAAACTATAACCATCGTTTTTCAACAAAATCCAGAAACAACACAGCTAAGAGAGGAAGATCATCATGATTCTTCTATGCTAGAAAAGGCTCGCAGCTCAAGAAGTGTTCCCATATCAAACTTAAGTTGTCTTTAAGCAAGTCAAAGATCCCATTGTTTCCAAATCCTGCTCCTGAAAAAAATAATCGAAAGTGATTTCCATAATCATCTGTTTTCGAGTAATATGTGTATAAATTGCATGATAAAGTTACAGGTCGTTTAACAAAATCAGGAAAAGGGCAACAAGTGCTGCTTACCACCAGTCCTGAAACGATCCCTTTCAACTTCAAGAAAACCTCCTCCGAGGCTTCACCGTATGCGGTTCTGAAATCAATCTGTCAGCATGTCGTACCTTGAGTCTTATGGAAGGGTTTTCATAAGCACTAGTCATTGTGTGCCAAACACCAACAACATTGTATCTGTTCCCACTTGATGCTTTTCCGGATGGCCATCTCAACCACCATTCACATCTCTGTCCAGGACTGCTGAATCAATCAGATTTTGAATGCTTTTCATCTCATCTTCCTGAGATTAAACGAAATAACTCAGACGGTAAAACTAATGTCACTGGAGATCAATAGGATCCAAACTAACTTACAGTCATAGAAGTTAAGATTCTCTTGTGGGTAAGCATCAACCTCAAATCGAGATTCATATCCAGGCATGATATGTCAATAACCATGTCACGCACTTGATTTAGTTCTACCTGCAAAAAGAAAAGATTCTGTTTCATGGTAAAACGAGAGAAAAACTGGGGGACATTCACAAATAGCAATATGTTGGTCCATTCCATAATTGCAGATTAAATTCGAGACTGCATAAGGAGAGCCAACATATTGGGTGCATATCTTGGCCTATGGTAATAAAAGACTTGCCTTGTATAGCTGGAGCTTTTTATCTTCTTTTACTCTACATTTGCACGAAATGGTTGAAGCTGGCTGAGTGCTATCAGACAACTACACATAAACAGATTAAAATCATTCAATTGCTAAAATAATCAATCATATCACAACAAAAAGTAAAGTGGGAAAATATACCTTCACATGGTATACATCTTTCATATCTGCAAAGTCAACTCCAATCTTCGAGGCAACTTCAGCTATAATGTTTTTCGAGTATGAAGAAGGAAGACTTGTGTAAAATGATTTTTTCAATTCCGTCAATGCCGCCTCACTAACACAATCTTTACTGATACCTTCCAAGCTAAAAGATGAGCTCCTGCACCAATATTGAAAAGCAGGGTTGCTTTGATCTCCTTCAAGGAAAAATAGTCCTGAAAACTAATCCATAAGACTCAAAGGTAAAATAACGATTCTTAATATCTTACCTTGAGTCTTATGGATTAGTTTCCATAAGCACTAGCCATTGCTAAGATAAGGATCATTTGCTTTCGAGGAAGCAATAGCAAAGTAATCAATGCTTACCCCTGAAGAAGTATTTTGCCAAACCTAGCAACCATTTCTAGCTTTACATCTTTCGAATCTCTGCACTCTATTTTGGCCCTTGCCTTTTCAAAGGAAGATAATAGGTATGGCAGAACATTTTCTGCAATAGATGACCACGGGCACCCTTTTGCTGCATCTACGATAATTGGGGACAAAAAATGTAGTTTCAGAACACATTTCCACAATATAATAAATAGCTTTCCACATTGTTTTAGGAAATGATGTACCACCAACCTTGATCTAAATTATTTTTCACCAAGATTAGAGGTTTCTTGCCCGTTCTTCTCTCGATAGATTCTACTGAAACTGGTTTCAGATGAGCAGCAAGAGTGTCATTGTTTTCATCATCCACACCAACAGCAAACCATCTGGAGATTGCATAGTCCGAATATACGATCTTTCCACTCCTATCAGCATTAGACTTTGAAGCCCTTAACTGTGCATTCCTATTAATTCTGGGAATCAGGGACTCTGGAGTCAGAGTCAACCTATCCGAATCCTTCCAATGCCGCTTGTGTGGATGGATGTAAGCCATGTATAATGCTCAATTCCAACACCTATAGGAAACTACCATTGTTAAAGGAGTTTCATGGCAATGATAATGTACTTATAAACCTTAAACAACATTGGAAACAATATCCAGTTTTCAACAAAACACAAATAATGAAACAAAATCTAATAACAGAAATCTTAACTAAGATACATAGATTATGTTAACATGATAAAAGTAAACATGACAGATATGTTAGTGAGACACAAAAGTCATTTTTTTAGCAACAAAATATGAAATGCTTGAAAAAGAAAACAAAGCAAAGCCTTTAAGTACCCATAAAATAACTCAAGTAAAACAATCTTCAATCTTTCTTTGAGTACCCATCAAAGAGGCATCATTTTATAATTCAGAAAACTAACAAATAAGTATTGCAAGGAAAAAAGAGAGATATTACCAGAGAATTCAATGGCTTTTGAATCTTGAAGATCACAGAGAGATGGTTTGCGGTTTGTATCTTGTTGTAAGAGAACAGATGATTGGTGTTTTTATACTTGAACTTACTTTCAACTACTTAAATTGCAAGGTCCTTTGAAAAAAAGGGGAAAAAAATGCACAAGAACTTTCCTCAGAAGTTGTCGCTTTATTTTTTGCGGCGAAGTACACCTTTAGTTCTTAAATTATTCCCTGCATATCATTTTGATAACCAAATTAACTTAAATTATAAAATTTTATTTTAAATAACAATAACTCCAAAAAAATGTATTTACAAATTTATAAAAACTATAATATTTTTAAAAATAGAAAAAAATGAAAAAAGGTTTTTCTATTTTGTAATTATTTTAAAAAAGCAAAGGCTTTTCTATTTTAAAAATAGTTGGTCCTCTTAAAAATTTTAAATTATTATATATTTTAGATATTTTTATATTTTTTATTGATAATTTATTTTCGTCTCTCAAAAATTTCAAAAATTTATCCATTTTAAAATTTTAGAAATTCAATTTCTATTAAATATCGAGTTTGATCCTACATGCTTGAGTGAAGAAGGTGCTACCACATGGTAGAGAGGAGAGTCTAAGGAACAACATAGAATGGACACAAACGAAGATGTTATAAAAATCAAAATATTTTTTTGTTGTCCGCAACCTAAAATACTAACTTTTTTTCCTATATATTCGGTTGAACAAAAAATAATACATTATTAACAAAATATTAGAAAAAAAATTAAAACTTTAAGTTGTGTCTAATTGAAAATATTATATTTTTTTATAACATTTTCGGTTGTACCCATTTACTGTTGTACTTTAGCCTTAAATTAGGTTGATGTAGTATGAATAAATTAAACAAATGTAGATATAAATGTTGTGGATGTTCATTTCTAAAATGATGAAACTATTTGAATGACCCTTGATATGCTGGATTGTATTATGATGAAGTCATAAATGCTCAATCTATTTGAATGACCCTTCTTACTCTTACATGATAGAATCGGAGCATTTCATGTGACAAAAAATTAGTAACTTTTTTTGGTTACAAGGAAACACTGCACTAGCAGTGAAGGCTTTGAGATTTATTCATTCTATCTCAGAGCAGGCTGCTTCGAATCTCCTCAAGAGGGGCAGTTAGGATCGTCAGACCAGGCCCGTTATTTTGGTCAACATGAGCAAAGGCATCGGCTGTACCATTGGCATCCCTACTAATGAAGCTAATCTGGTTACGAGGATAATCTTTGGGAAGATGACATGAAATGAGAATTGACATTGAGCACAAAACTCTTTTTTTTTTCTTTACAAATTTTAAATATAATTTTAATCCTATTCAGAGTGAGGGAAAAGAGAATTCTAGGTAAATTAAGAGAAGTTTTCCTAATGAGTATAGAATCCACAACTTAATGGAATATGAAATATGAGGGAACAAAAACTCTTTATTCTTAAAAGTAGAAAACTTTAAATATATTTATCTTAAATTCCTGTCCAGCTCAGTTGGTAGAGCACAAGGCTCTTAACCTTGTGGTCGTGGGATTGAGTCCCACGGAGGGCATTTCATAATTCGGAGGTCTCCCACGGAAGCTGCTCTCAACTGGCGTTGGGGGCCTACTATCATACCTCTCCCTTATCCCATTATATATGGGAAAAAGGGTCAGTAGCTTTAAATATATTTATCTTAATAGCCTTACAAACTAAATCATTCGAGATTCTTAAATCAAATTGGAATAATTAAAAAACAATGAAGATGAAATTAATTAATAATTTTAGTCGGTGATGGATTGAAGGGGGCATTTGAGATAGTCGTTTCCTTAGAATTTTTAAATTACTATATAATTTAATTTTTTTATATTTTTTATTGATAATATGTTTTCATCCCTAAAATTTTACAAAGTCATAATCACCTAAAAGTTTACTCCTAACATAAATTCTTGCATCTTTCTTTGTTTTTAGCGATAAAGGGTGTGTTGAGTTAATCGATCGACAGAATTAGCCAAGAGGGGGGTGAATTGGCAATTAAAAATTCGGTGGAAGCTTTTGCAGAAAATTGAAAAGATTTGCACAACGATTTAGAGTGGTTCGACTTTCTCAATCAAAGTCTACGTCCACTACCTTAGCTATCCACACTAAGGATTTTCCAACAAATTCACTAATTTGTTCTTTCTTTTGAGGCCAAAGAGATAACCTTACAACACCCTCAAGAATATACCCCAATTCTTGAGAACACTCTTTTCCCAAAGAGAAGATTACAAATTTGCAAACTTACAAGGAAAACCTCACAAGGTAAGATGTTTGCACAATTCTAGAACAAGAAAAGAACACTCAAAGATAATTACAAATGAGCACAAATGGTGTTCTTGAAAGCAAAATGAATATTGAAAGGAAAATTGGCTTGATTTGTACAAACTTGGTGTTTGATGCTTTCTCTCTTGTTTCTCTATAATTTCTTGTTGATCAAGGGCTTCAGAACTTGTTTAAATACACCTTGAATCACTTCTGAACGTTGGGGATAATTAATGAAGATAATATAGCCGTTTTAGTGTGAAAACAATTAATAAAACAGCTTGGAGCGTGGGGGGAATCGGTTCCTCATTATAGGGAATCGGTTCCCTAAGTGTAAAATTCAAATATTTCGACCGTTGAACAGGGGGAATCGGTACCCCCTATGGGGGAATCGGTTCCCTCCGAGCATTCTGGAAATCTCGGAGCCAAACCATTCAGGGGGGAATCGGTACCCCTTGGGGGGAATCGGTTCCCTCTGAGCAATCTGGAATTTTTGGTTTTGAAATGGTTCGAAATACTTTGAAAGATTATTTTGAAATTATTTTAAGATTAAAACTTAATTTTACACTTAAGTAAGGATTAAAAATGATTTTTGAAATATTTTGAGTAATGTTTTGATATTCGAATAATTATATCGAATATACTTAGAAAATCATTTAACTTAATTTGTTATATCGAAATATCAAAATGTTTTCAACAATCTCCCCCTTTTTGATATAACAAAACATTTTAGTAATTTTAAGATTTTGAAATCAAGTTTTGAAATTACTCCCCCTTACTTTAACACTTCTCCCATTTATCATTTTAAAAACACACTTAAAACACACTTCCCCCTTTTGTTAAATCAAAAAGATTCAAATAAGCGTGAAAAATATGTAGTCAGTTGATTAGGTATATGTATACATAAGCTGCTAAGATCACAATCAAGAGAACCGTTAGCCATTAGTTCCATAATCAATATTCATAAATAATATGATATGGTAAAATTGGTCATATTGCTAATAATGATGTAAATGATGCAATAATGAATAAATCACACCAAACATATAAGTTCACACCATCCATAAATCCAAACAAATTCATAATCCACAAATTCAAACATTCCAAAATATTCAAAATGTTAAAATAATAAGTTTGGAAAGTAAAACATTTAATCACATATCCGGATCAGGAGGAAAAAAACGAGCTCGCATAGCGGCCATTTCGTTAGTGAGGTCATTAATACGTGCGTTGGTTGCTTCATTATTTGCACGCATTTCCCTAAGAATTTCTAATTGTTGAGCTCCCATTGTGGATAAATGGGACTCTATAGAATTAAAGCGCGAATCCATGGTCGCATATCGGTAATCAAATGTCTCCATAAAAGATTGAAAATATGGAGGCATTTGAGTCGATATTTGTGCTTGCTCTTCGGGCTGCTCCTCGGGCTGCTCAGGTTCATCTTCAGCTTCATCGATGTCTCGCATTAATTGCTCGAGATCTTCGTCAGCTTCGGGTGGAGCTTGTGAAGAACTAGCTCCCGGAGTAGTTGCAGAAGATCGAACCCATTCACCGGTTTCTTTATTTTTGACCCATCCCGCTCTTGTTAAAGAAAGAAGATTGATTTGTTTCTTAAGAGGAAAAGCGGCATCTAGACCAACTCGAAGCTCGGCTTTAGAAAAGAGATTACTAAGGATACAACCGTAAACTAGTGAAGAACAGAGTTTCTTATTTGGCACTAGGTTAACGGTTTCAACGATCTCAGCAAAGATAATCTCGGAAAGGTTTATTTTATGTTGTGTTCAAAACAATGCAACCACCATAGGTCTAAAGCTCTAAGAGTATAATAACGACCCCCGGATGGTCGAAAACCACCAAGTGATCATGAGATGAAGAAACGCTCATGAAGATCTAGAACACTTGCACTATCATTCCATTTATATCGTGAGCCTAAAACTTGTTTTTCATTTGATAAACCTTCATTATCCAAGCCTAAGGCATTGGCTATGTAATCCGGATCAAGATGAAAATATTGACCTAGGAGGTAGGAACGTACTCCTATGGTTTTGGTCTTGTCACGATTTTGATACAAACGGCATTACAGTAGAAGATACGAACAAGTTGATCATAGACAACGGGTTCAAGTTCGAAAAGTTTATCAAATTTCCATTCGTGCAAGATAGGGAGATATTTAAAGTTAATAGCAACCATAGCTTGAAGAGATGGGATACGTTCTTCCCTAATCTTATACGAGTCAAAATATTGGTAAAACCAATAACGATAATCTTTAGGACCCGGTTGATTGAAACAAGAATTTTGGATAGTCAAGTTAGGATCAAGATTTGGAATAGGATTTTGAGGAATAGGAGGAGGATTTGGAGGTGGATTTGGTTGACGACTAGAACGACTAGATGAAGACCTAGCACGTTTAGGATTAGACATGGTGAAGGAAATCGGAATTGATTGGATAACCTGCAATTTTAAAAACAAATGTATACAATTTAATTAATCCTAAAACTCAATTGAGTCCTCAATATTTCAAGGTTCTCTAAATCAATCCTAATGGGCAAAGTTTTTGAAAAACTTTTGAAAAATATGGTTTTGAGAAACAATATATATAGTTTTCATAACAACAACATAATTTAATCAAAACACAATAATTTGAAAATTAACATTTTTTTATTTCGAAAATTTAAATTTTTTTTTGGAAAATTCTTGTGTTTTTGATGAAATTAGTTGTAACATCTAGTTTCTAATCACTAAACAATCAATGCCCGATCACTATTTC